ACTTGAATCTTAATATCTGACTAGGTAGTGCAAGTCACATAATATTAAGTAAAAAAAACCATGACTATTGTGCATAACCGTGAATCTACTTAAGATCTGTATATTAGAAGGTGAGTCGTCCTAGCTCCAATAAATTTAAATGTAGGTTAAAAATACTGAAATCCTGGTTAAAAATGGTTACAGATCAGATAGGCGCAAAAATGTGGAATTAGTTTATGTTATAAATTTTGATTTTTGGACGACAGAACCAGAAACTAGACTACTAGAGAGACTAACCAGTATGACATGAAGTGTCTGATATTACGTTTCGTTATAATATTATTATGATTAACATTCAATACATTATTAATCTGCGAATTTGATAATTTTTAATGGGTATAGGTATACATATAGGTGTATCGATTAATGGATTATAATGTATTATGATTGAATACGATATAATTGATAATTTATAAGTTAAAGAAATATTAGTGCTAAAAGAGATAACCGAATGAACCTTATTCGAATGTTTATAGGTAGATAATATATAGTTTTAATATATACAATTACAATATTGTAATTAACTTAATTAATTAACAATGTTATCAATTTATAGTAAAAAATAACAAAATATGAATTTAAAATAATTAAATACCTACAATTCATATCAAATCATAGTTTACCTATATTATTATATAATATGTAAAACATTTATAAATACCTTACATAATTTTATCTTAAATAGTACTCCTAACACCTATAGTAAATAATAATAATTAATTATATATTAATAATAAATTATTATTATTTAATTATTTCAAACGAAACATGTATAACAATATTGACATTTTTGATACAAAATATATAGATTTGAATTATCTAGTTATAAAGAGACATATAGCCACAATAAAAAAAATTCTCAGGCTCTTGTACATTATATGAATTCAGAAAACTAAAAAAAAAATAAGTGAGTAAGTACAATATATTTTAGAGATTTTGAAACGAAATTGTGATTTATTTTGAAATTCCATTTTTGGCCCTTTTATACCTATGGTTTTTTCAAATTTCTACAAACACAAGTGAATTTAATAAAGAAACTCACAAATTTAGAAAAAAAGTTTAATCTGTTTCACAAGTAGTTGGTTGTATAATTGGTTATTTTTATTTTAAGCGTTTATTATAGCATTGTTCTATTTAGGTGCCAAGTGGTATTAAAAACGTTTAAAAGTATTGTTTAAACTGTTTAATGTATCGAGAGTTGATGACCATAAATTCGGTTTTCTCTTTGCATGTACCTATCAAAATATCGTTTGTATTAATAATTTTTAGAAATAAATACTACATACATTCATATTTCATTTGTAATACCTAAAAATATTGCAAGGTCTACAACTATAATATTAAATAGGCAGGGGCCAATAAATCATTATATTTTTTTTATAATACGTCGCAGATAGTTATTCTCTCACTACTATAAGTCACGACATCAATGTCTTTGTTGTAACGTGTACAAAATATTATACATATTACCTATATAGGTAGTGAGGAAGGTACACATATTATATTATACATGGGTATAGGCCACACAAATGCAATATTACGTATTATGATCGTTATTAGTTTATACATTTTTATATTCAGGTTATGAAATGCACGCATTTAGATATTCATAAAATATTAAAATAATAATAATGATGATAATTTATAATTTTTTTCTATTATAATTAAAATTAAAAAATATTTTCCCGCTTCCGTCATACCGCGGTTATTGCAAGTGGTAATATTGTGGGCGTCGAGTAGATATTTCATCTATTAAATCATCACTGTCGTCGTAGATCGGAGGATAATGGATATATTTTAAAATGTATAATATTAAGTAATACATAATAATAATAATAATGTGATAATGTTCGTCAGAGAAAATGGGCAACGCGTCGATACGAGTCTGAACTAAAACTAAACCTAATATAATTTTAAAAAAAAATGACGTACATTCTCCTAATTCAGTATGCATAATATGTGAATGTGTGTGTGTGTGTGTGTGTGTGTGTGTGTGTGTGTGTGTGTGTGTGTTGTACGCGTGTCTGTGAAAAATAAAAATAAATAAATAAATAAATCGGCAAGGAAATCACAATGCGGCGACGACGAAGATAAGCGCGCACGTTCACACGACGACGAAACGTAGGCGCCACAATAGGCCTATTGTATATATTAGCTCACGGATTCTCGTGTGGCCGATGCACCGCAGGCGTGGGCTATTATGCATTTATGCACACACAAACACACGTGAGTGTGTATTTTTACACGACGGACGTTTGTCCTAAATCCATCTGCCGAGAAAAAACACCGAATTACACACACACACACACATACACTCGTAGGTATACGCATAGTATTATAGTTATCGGTTGGGTGTGCATAATATATTATTTTGTATGTTATGGATAGATATATAGTTCGTGTCGGGGAATGAAGTACCTGATGATGAAGCTGCCGCTGCACTTGGGCGCACTAAAAAATAATAATATTATCGTTATTTGTTATTTCCACGTATGAAACACCCATATCCGTCTGTACAAGTTTTTAAGAAGAGTAAAAATAGACAAAAGTGTTCACTTTCCGCATAATAACTTAGTAATAAGTAATAACTTTTAAATGATTGTTTTTGATAAATAAACGACTTTCAGAGAAAAAATGTAAATCGATCATGACCGTGGTTGTGACATGGGTAGTATAGCCATTATTACCAAGAATAACCACAAAGAGATTCTAAATAATTTTCGATGTCAACACAATGTATTATTTTTAATTTAAATCTGGTGATACCTAGGTTTATTGTGTTGTTTAAATGAAAGATTTTATCGGATGAAATGACAAATCCGTCTCTCGATCCGGTCAAAACGTATCCATGGTAACTCCGGTATTAGGTATAGGTAGCTGGTATATGTTATGGATACACTTTTCTTCCAAGGCTATTTTGCGAAAGAAATATTTTTGTCATGAGCTAGCATAGACCTATTACACTACTAAGTACTAGACAAGAACTGTGTATAACAAAAGCATTACGAGCGGCGTAATAACATCTCGCAATTATTGATGTAGACGGCCTTTACGAAAAAACACAACAATCTATCTATCTTATCCTATTACCCCACAATACCGTGCCTACAAGTAGTAATGGAGGAACCAAAAAGCTCCCTTTATATCGTTACGCTTTCCATATACACTCATTGCTAGTAGTATAAGGTCTACGTGAGCTAGTCACATACGATGTATGTTGTCTTGAAATAATAATGTGGGAGACAACGTCCGGTCGGATCGCGTTCACATTATGCAACATAATATATTATAATGCTTAAATTGGTAAGTACCTACATGATATTATAATTATATTTTAATTATCGGCTTGGATGAAAAAAAACAGAAACAGATGTCGACCGTCGACATCTTCATGTATGTCTTCAGTGGCTTGCAAGTTAAAAGTTAATTAACGTCCAAGAAAACCAAATACCTATTATAGATATGCGCAAAAATAACGAATATGTTTAAAAAATATAATTAGGTATAATATTATAAGACACGTATTATTATTTTATTTTTGCGTGTTATTAAAATCGTAGTCAAATGTAATGTTTTTTTTTTTTTTATGAATATATCGACGTATCATTATTTATTTTGAATATATATTTTAATCACGTTGTAGTCTTGGTAGGTATATTGTAAGAAAATATAGTAGGTAGGTAAATTACTTATATGGCATACGCACTATATGAGAAATGGAACCGTTTGAATATTATAAACATCAAGAGTTTCATGAATAGTTTCATACACACAATAAATAAAACACAAATTGTACCTAATATGATTTTTTTTTAATTTCTGTATATTTTTGAGGATTTACAAAACAGTATTTTAGACAAAAATAAATATGTTTGGTTAAAATATGTAAACATAATAAGTAATTATTTGTTTTTTTTTTACAATTTTTGATTGAACATTATTCACAGCCATTTTTGAATACAAACAATGTTGCTTTTGAGTATAAAAAAATAATGCACCATAAAATTAACAATATACTTTCTTGAATTTTTGCAACCGAGGTTTTACTACCTACGTAAATTATTATAGAAAGAAATCTTTATTAGTGAATGTATTAATGTAAAATGTAAAACATTGCAGTCTCGGAACTTTGATAACTCACAAACTTCAATAACACAATTTTTTTTTGCTCCTTGAAATTTTTTTAAGTTATGTTTGAGGTATATGACTCGAAAAATACAGAATTAATTTTTATTCCCCTTGAGATTCGAGATATTGAGACTCAGCTGCGTATTTAATAAGGCGTATACTTAATAATATTATTATATGCGGTGTATAGCTAATCTATATTGAATGTTTGAATTAGTTAAATATTTAACATAATAACAGAGTTATTATGTCAAGTATTTTAATTACAAAATACAGATTTAAAATTGAAAATAGTCGTATGTTTTTGTCATTATTTGTAATTTATTTTACTATAAAAGCTCTTCTTCCCTGCATCGTTCAATCACGCAACACAACATACATATCTAGCTCAGTATAAGATTAAAAACTTATTGCTGCGATGCGTGTAAAATACTAAAATGTTCAAATATGTGGGAAGTATACAAGGCAGTTCTTAATTGGATTGCCAAAAACAGAAGCCATTTTCAATAATAATTGTATAACAATAATTTTACCATATTATAATGCGTCAAATTCAGATGTTTTAATGACATTTTATTTTGCTAATTTTATTTACTTCTTTTTTTACAAATAACTAAATGTCTAATTTACTGTCCGTCCTACAATTAATTAAATCGTTACTACGTCCATAGTATATCGCTATTATTTGGAAGTACCAAACACTTTATAAAACTTTAAGTTTAAGTTGAATGCACCTATAGGCTATAATATTGATTCTTCATACATTTATATATAATACTAGATACTTACTAATATAAACATATATAAATATATAATTACCTAACACTTTTCAGGACATCCAGAAACACGAACCTGCTAGAACCATGTCACCGCTATCAGAAAATAAATGGAAATTTCTTGGTTCTAGAAAGACTGTAGAAGAAACTTTTCGTAGTTCACACAGAATCAGCTTGTTACAAGGGCAAGGTATTACACATTTAGTTATTATATTATTATTATACTGTATGTGGTCAGCTGCATATATGGACGATTCTCGTCTGATAAGCCTCATGCCCGTTAAATCGAACGTGGAAAGCAACCAGACTTGCACAAATCGCATTTATTTACATTACATTAGCATTATTATTCTCAAAACGTGAATACGTGATAATCACTGTTCAGTGTGTACGTATACTAGCACAGTGCAGTGTAAAGCCGATAATTGTTGATCACACGAGTATACACTTATATTATTATATGTAGTGTAAATGTATAATAGTATATACTCGACAGTGAATTATGTTCCCATGTCACTGTAGACTTCTACAGGCACTTTCGCATTCCTATTCACATATCTTGAAATATATTATATATTGAATGTATATCTATATTATAATATACCACACTCAAAAAACTATTTTTTTTTACCAATAATATAGTCACTAAAAACACCCAGTCTATAAAATGCACAGTAAATATACAATTATTACCATAAATTGAGTAAATATAAAAAATCAAAATTTAATTTCAACTTATTTAGAAAAGAATGTAGCTACAGTCTGTAGATAATAGGAATTTTCGAGTTTCCATTTAGAAATGTTTACAATTTATAAACCTTTTAACTATCACACATTCACATCTATGATCTATATATCATCATAATTTGTTTTTACAAAATATTTTATTATACAAATAGCTAGAACTTAACTTATATATTATTAAAATTAAAAAACCACTAATCAGCGTTATGTTAGGGATTTACAACGATAGTAATATTATATACAATAAACTATTAATTAGCCATTAACTATACATCAATATTTTGACACGGTAATTCATCTTTAATTTATGTTTATGAGATATAGTATCAAATTAAATCAATCATCGAGTTATTCTACTAAAAATTATTATAATTTTGTCTGACTTCACGCTTAACCATAAATTAAATGTATAAAACAATTTTCAGGGGATAGTGAAGGAGGTGAAGCTTACAAGCATCAAATGAGAATTTCGAAAGAGGCATCTTGCAAAGTACCTAGATCTCGAGTGATCAAGGTTACTGACATATACCCCAGCTCGAATAAGAAATATTTACCTGCGTGTACAGTGCTTCATGTTTGCGCTGAAGATACGGGTTGTTGTAACAGTCCAACGTTGAAGTGCGGGCCGAAGACTTCACAACCAATTTATTTGCCCTTCCTAGTTTACGTAAGTAAAAGTAACATTATTAATATAGGTAAATGATAAGTAACTATTTTCAAATCCAGTTTCAAATATATTTTATACAAATACCTATGATTATTTGACTTCATAATCATTTTTATTCAATCAAAGACAAAATATGGGTCTTACATTTACCATTTGCTAGATTGTTCAATTTAAATTAATTATATCTGCCATTTTTAATTTTTACAATATTTACCTATAGTTTTTATTTTTTCAATTAAAACTTTTCTTACGAATTGGTTAAATTATTGTAATGATGTTACCAATGTCATTGAATGTGTTTTAAGATCAAGAATCAAGGTGGTTAAGATCATATCTTTTAGGTTATACGTATAATAATTATTGATATTTAAAAGACTTTAAAATAAAAAAAATTAAATTAGCAGATAAATCTGCACAACTTTGTTTGTAATATAATGGCTTGCGTATTTAAACTGTATATTTGCCAGGTTAATATAACATACGCTTTAATGCCTTATTGTGTCGATTATTTAATTAAATTAAAAAATAGATTTCAATTCTACCTACCATGGCATTCTTAAGATTTTTTGGAACAATAGGCCTCTCGCAATTCATGTTTTTGTATGACTACTATAGGTATTATATTTGATGTGCCATACCAATGGAATTCGAATCCCGATAGTTGTTGGACAAAATGACTATGTTTTACCTTCTTATTTTAATGAATATATATATTAAATCGTCCTTGAATTTAATTTTGAGTTTGAAAGTCACGTACCAAATACCAATATGTATCGGTATAGTTATTATTTTAATATCATCCCCACACCACCAAACAGGTTCATAAATACATCCAATACGTGTATACATCACTGTATAAACCATGCTAAGAGAATATAGTTTCGACATTGCGTGTTTGTGATTAATAACTTTGGCCTATGACACTTGAGTCCAATTTACCACGACACCTTACGGACATTTAATAATTAATTTATTGACAGTTATATATTATTGACATCTAAAGATGACAATATTAATGGAGCATAACGATTTCACACCGCCTTCGCACAACAAATCAATACAAATCGTCGGCACATGTCTTACAAAATAATTAAAGTATCACTATCATCACATACTTAAACACTTTTGCATATTTAAGTGCTCAAACTAATATAGACTGTATGTTATGATTACAGTTATGTGCTAATTATTCAATATAATATACTTAAATGAATATTTGTTATTTACATACAATTCATCTTATATTCTTATGTATTCTGATAATATTATATTATTATTAATTTACGGAATATTTCTGATAGTAATTAAATAACTCAAAAGATAATTTTTTCATCAAAAAATTCAATTATTTACTACATTTAAATGATTATAGGTACCTATATTATAATAATATATATATATATACATTGTTATTCAATTAAAGTAATAAAATTAAAATAATAATCAACTGCAATATGAACTATAACTACAACTTACAAGTTCATGCATAGGTTAACATAATAAGTAATAACATTGTATAACTAATGTATTATACATATTAATACTACATTAATATGTATAATATTTAACATTGTATATATTATACAATAATTATAGAATTTGAATAAACATAGGGATACAGTTACACAGGTAATATACGGTGTACCTATATTGTATTGTTATCATATCTCTTTTAAAATAATTAGTTTTTAATACATTATTGACGTTATTGTCTTTATTAAAAAACGCAGATACTATAGTTATTAACTAGCATTACTTGGTTTTTAAATCTGCATTCTATTGGGGTACATTATTATAATGTGCATATAGACATTTTTCGTAAATCCAACACATTCAATTTCTAAGGTCGTACATCTTCAATAATATTCTTTGATTGTTCAAATGTATGATCTATTTTATATAACTCAATATTATTTAAGCCTTAGACTTAATTTATAACGTTTTTCCTTTTAATTTTTAATAATTTATGTACTTTTAAATATTTTACATTTTATTGTTAAATCAAAAAAGTATTGTTTAGTTTTATTTCTAATCTTTTTAGGCGTTTTTTATTTTCAAATTAAATTCAAATCAATGTTTTACTAAAATGCACTTTTTACATTTAAGTTAAAATTGTATTGATGAACCATAATATGGTAAATACTAAATGGTAATAATTGTAAACCATCTTCTACGTGAAGGTTGTAAAGTTACTTGATGTTAAAACATGTTTGTCGGATAAATTGTAATGTTATCAAAAAGTATTGTACCTATACGCACGACGAGCTTATACACAAATTGACATAATTTATATATTACATAATATGATTGCTAATTATTCACTAACTATTGACTAATGGTAAATTTGACCACATTAACTTTTCAAGTTTTTAAAATTAAAATTAAAACATTTTTTAAAAAGTATATAAAATATGCAATGACTTTTACTAGAAAATATATTGTTTATGGCGTTTCTTTAAACATTCAAAAATATATAAAAATACTTAAAACGCCATTACCTATGTTCGTTTTATTTTAAACTTTCACTATTTCATTTTATCTTTTCAGTACCTAAAGGTAACCATTATAATAATAATATGAATAACTAATAAGCAACAGATATGAACTTTGATAATTTTTAACGATTTTGTAGGTTTTATATTCCATGTATGTGTATAAAATTTTGAAATATCGCGAGAAAGCAATCTGTTAAAACGAATAAGAACAATTAACGTAGGTAACTGTCTATGATTATTTTGTATAAATATAGGTAGGCCTATTGTCGACATAAATGCGTGTGAAGCAATTAGCCGTAGGTAATAAACCATTTAACCACGTGTTCGCCTACAACTCAAGTCCAAAATAAGGCACAACTTTCTATATATACTGCTTGTGATTTTTTCAGATTGATGTGTTTAATCCCTATCTATTATCCACTTGGATATATAGATATATACTATATACACCTATGTCCTATATTATATATTCCTAAATGGGCTGGTTCGTCACGAATAGAACGACAGAGGCCTACCACTGCCATTTAACTATTACCACCTATATTATGCAAAGTCGATTTATTCTTTCCGCGATGAAATATCGCCTGCCCGTTTACAAAACGAGTCATTATAGATCTCATAACCACCGAGTAGTGAAAAAAATAACATATAAGTATATGCCTATTGTCTTTTGGCTATCCGATCAGGGGTTTGTTGGTTTTGTTTCGTGTACAACATTTATTTTATGTAATACGTTTTTTTTTATTATTATTATTATTATTATTATTATTATAGGCACATACAGGATATTATAATTTCCCATTAATAATAACGGTCCTCGGGACATTATATTGTTTTATAAACAAACAGTTGTTGAGAGGAAGGAAAAAAAGGACTAACACGCCTACTGTGTGGCGGGACCCGGGGCTACAAACAAGATGATTAAGTTATATCTTAATTTGTCAGGACTGAACGGGGCGAATAAAATTACCGTTTTCTTTTGCATGGACCTGTGTGTGTTACATATACTTGGGAACAATACGGTGTAATAAATAACTCCAAGTTACCATTCTTCCGTATGTCTTCAATCGAATTTTTGGTCATCCACGTAACCACATAATATTTATGGTCGTTCCATTCCATTACATAATTGTTTATATGCAGTAGTAAAATGCACGAGAATTATAAGCTGTCCAACAGAAGTACATATAAAATCTATTTTACTTGAAAAATGCAATTTACTCGAAAATATAAATAACAGTAATATCAAAAATGTAATTTAATTAATTTTCTATTTTGAATTATTTATATCCAATTTTATCAACAAATCATAAATATTTATAAAGAAATCTATACACTCGTCGATCATTTTTTCTTGACCAATAATTAGGTATTACAAGCAGGGAAATAAAAACACGATGTAATTTGTAACATAATATGACTATTAACAAACATTTTGAAAATGTTGGATTTTAAAATATCAATAAATACATTCGGATTGAATGTCGTTTTGATGTTAGGAATTTGAATTAATTCCAGAAAAATATATACAATAGGTATAGAATAAAATATAACTCCTGATTCTAAATATCGTAAGACCTTACATACTTCTTAAAAACATTTGTTTTTTCTTTTCTTTTTTTATTCACCTTTTGAAGTAGCATCACGAACTCCGTGATCATAAGGCGTTAACACTATATATGATGTATTAAGTGCACATACTTGAAGGTAACGAAGACTGACAGTTTTTTTTGGTACCCAAATGGAGACCTCGAGGCGAATTTAGCGGCATCCTGTAATGATAAAATAATTATAATGTAAACACAAAATGTACCAGGTAGTCTATAAAGATTTCAAAATTAACAAGACAAAAACAAAATCCAATATTTACTGAATATTTATTCTCAGCGTTTATCTCCTTTCCTAATATTATGTACACCCAGGATACCTAATAAATAATGGTATGATTATACCACAACGACGTAAACGGTCATCGTATTATAGTGAGAACATAGAAAAATATTATTATGAATCGTGAAGTAATAAATAAAAAATATTAATATGATATATTACCTATATGTATATATATTATTTATTATATGCACATAGTGTCCCTTGATATAAATTTACTAATAATTTAAAAATGTATATTAATATAAATCTATAGCTCTGATAGTGTATAAACTACAAAAAAAGCGGGTAAGTAGATGTCGCTCTGCTATGCATTAGGTGTCTAGGATGCCTGTAATGGATTTTATTAAATTTGAAGTCAGTGATATGATATCATTGTATACGATTCTGAGCTGAGACGGTATGTCAGATATTTTATATTGTTATACCATCATTATTAATACGGTAGTCGGTAAATTTAATTAATATTATTTGTAATATTATCCTAAAATTATCAGTGATTTTGGAAAAATATTATATTTACTAATGTAAAATTGGACTGTTTTAGAACCGAATTACAACAAAATTACTAAAATCGTTATTCTCTGTGTTAATATGTGATCTCGTATAAATTTGAATTTAAAATAACTATAAAAAAACTACTTACGTGGAACCTTGTCTTAAATTGTCAATCCTTAGTTATAAAAGTTGAAAATTTAATACACTTTAACTACAAAATCATTTTTCAATTCGTAAGTGTTGTCAAATTTTGAACTTTAAATGTTTATGCATATTTTCATGCTTTCTGACCCAACCAATACAATTTTATTGATATTTATAGAAAAAAATTAAGAAAAAAATTAAAAATGTTTGTGAACAGCTCGAGACCAGTCAAGATATTTTGAAAATTTTACCAAGTTTATGAATTGATAAAATAAACATATATATCTAAACATAAGAAATCTAGTGAATAAACTATGTTTTAACAATTTCAACTTTAAGCGTTCACAACAATTTAATTTGAATTTGAGGAAAAAATTTTTTTCAGTAAAATATGAAAAGAAAATTGTTTATAAGTTTCTAACTTAAAATAGTTTGCAAATTTTCGTAATTTTTACTTATTTTGTCGAAACTTGAAATTCAAAAAAAAATTATTGTGGACTTATGCTCAACTTTTTTATTAATTTCTACTAACAACAACTTATGATGAACGTTTTATTATATTTTCAAGTTTTTTAATCTAGTTAACATTTTTTGATAAACAGTAATCGAAAAAAAATTATAATAATCGAAAATTTCATATGTCATAGTACCTAAATAATTCAATCTGAGTCAAAATATTTTGAAAATTTTAATGTGTATAGAAAATGTTAACAAACACATTCAAGAAAATGTCACGTGCATGGTCAATTTTTTTACAATTACAAGAAAAACCAAAATCGATTTTTTCAAAAATTGGTTTAGTATAAATATTCTCGTTTTTCCTTAATTTTTTGTTTGTTTCTCCTGTCGCTTTTGAAAATTATTGGGAATTTCAAATTTTGACCTCCCTAATGCGCACTAACTAGATTCACTTTCCTACCAGAAAAGTTGCTGTCGAAGAAAATCGAAACACTTTTACCACCCCAAACCGTGATGACAGACACAAAAATAAAATAAATAAAATACACACACAATATCATTATAAAATCAATACATTCTTCGCTCCGCTCGGGATCTAAAATAAGAAATCTCAACTGTCAATTCGACTATGAGTTGTTTGATTACATAGTACCTACTATTTATTTAAATATTTTACAATCGATGACTTTCTGATTTAAGAATTATGTTTGAAACTTATAACACATATTTTACTTCAATGTTCGATTAACTCGAGAAGTTCTAGGGGAATAAAAATATTTGAATGATCAAAACTTCAAATTATCAAGGTAATAGCTAACAGTTCATAACGAAGTTATTGAATAAGTTCATTAATGAAAAAAAATTAAGTTGTCAAGAATTTCTTATAATCTAGAATCTATTGTAATTTGTAGTAATACCTAACTATAATCTTTAAGACTTTAAGTAGTACTTATTAATAATACTCATTCAGCATTCTATAACCAGATAACATTATACTATAGGTATTACAATAAGATATAACACACTACACGCAATAATAATATCTATGATAAAATGTATCTATGGTGCAAACGGCAATGTCATATTGTACTAACTACTGTAATGTTGTGTACGACAAAATATAGGTAAAGGTAACGTTACCTTTAAATTTGATTACACATAGGTTCACAAATAAATAAAACAACTATTTAAGCTAATTATAGTAGTTCAAGGTGATAAGGAATATTATAATACAATATCAATTCATGTAGGTACATTCAATATATTTTAGTATTTTACGAAATTCATATATCTTAAACTCGAAAATATGTAATAATTATATTATAATATCGGTGTTATAATAATATTATGTTAATTATTATAAATTGACATAATATTGCATGAACTTTATATGTTTTTTTACTATTTTAGAACTGCAGTACCTATGTATATCATACTTACAACTTACCTAATAATAAGTATCTAATAAGTAATTATAATGAGTTCACTTCGTGTAAACATATCGTGATTAGGTTTACCTATAAATTATACGTCATGTATACGCCATACGCGTGTATCGACAGTCGAGACATCATCATTCATAGGTCATATTTGCATACATAATAATTTTAAAACGTAAAGGTTTCATCATGTAGATCACGTTATATAATCTATAATAATATTTTAACAATATCGTAATACATATAAATAATAATAATACAATACACCGAATGGGCGGTGTTTAAACATTTTATAAAATGTTTGCTCGCTTCAGTATTTACTGTTCGACCACGTTTCAAATTTCAATAACAGCCAAGCCCGAGGACCCTATAGGTATAATACATATGTGTCGTTTTGAACTCCGAAATCTGATGAAAATCACCGTGGAACCTGAAATCCCGGCAGTCTCCGGGCGGGGATGATCGACTATCAACCATAAAAACGAGACAGATGCGCGCCTGCATGGCGTGATATATAATATGTGTGTGTATTTAGCTACCTAGGACCACGACGACAGAATTACTAGTCCCGATGATCAAAATATTAATACAAATAAATGTATTTATCGGACTATCGGAGTACCTATTTATTGGATGAATCCCCTCCGATCCTTATAAATTATAATATTATTTATTTTAATGGATTTGAGGGTCCTTTTGTGCATGCCGGTGACGCATTCTAATATAATACTCGTATTATATTGCAGAGTGTTCGTTCGATACTTCGATTGTTAATAGCACGCGGCGTAAATGTCGATGGTAGTGTGTAGGTGGGGCAGGGGTTACGACCCGGGAACGAGATGAAAATAGAAACGTCACCAAGGATCCCGGTATTGTGCGTGGAAAAATTAAAATCGGCGCGTGATCGATACAATCGTCGGACTTTCTCCGTTCTGATGACTGATTGAGCAGGGCTCAATCCAGGAGCCCCCCTAAGTATATGTACGATAATTCCTTTTCAGTATGTATAGACGTATTCTGGTATTTACGTTTATAGTACATACATATTGTAGAGGTTACCCACCCAGAGGTAGGTAGTTTGCGAGATCAAATAAATCTTTTGCGGTCACATACTCGCATGTGTCTAGGCGATATATTATTTTTTTTATTATGTAACCTGCCAGTTTCGTTTTGAAGGCTGGCTATGCCGAATGGCACACATATAAAATAGGTATCTAATAACTAATAATATTATATATTTTACATTTTTCACATGACGTTTTCCTCCGATGTCTAATACAGGAATGTTTCAAAGCGATCACTAGCCGTTGATATTTGAATAAGACAATTATTATTAATGAACAACTGAAATTGTGTACCTAAAGAACTTATAGTAGGTACCTATCATTTCTTATATCACTGTAACGAGACAGTCACGAGATAAAACGAAATTAAAATTGAGTATTTACACTTGGGTAGGTGCAAATTTGGTACTCATAAAAAGTACATATCAGCAGTTTTGTTACTTTTTGTGTTTTATCATGTTTGATTATTACGAGATGTAAATTTCATCATGTTTTATTTTATATTATTTAGCATTTTTAAACGTAGGTATAAGCACAATTAAAAAAATAATTCCAAGTCTATCTCCTAATATTTGTCTAAAACACTAAATCTCCGGCTATGGCGGGAAGGTATACCTTTTAATTTGGATGATCGTCGAGTCACTTCAAAGTTCAATTAGCCATTAAGACAGACTTATAAGTTATAACTTATAAGCGACTTCAGTCATATTAAACGAGTCTGGATCCTTACACTTATGATTCATTTATTCATTGAATTTCTTACACAGACTTTACCCGGACTTGGAGACCGGCAGTCACCCGAGCAATCGTCATACCAGAAATCGTTACTTTTTTACAACCATACCGAGTGCGAGTGCCAGTCAAGAACCGACGACTTGATGCCCAGAGATACGATGCCGACTGCCTCCATGGTTGCCCCGGATCAGCCAGTACCATTCAGGCACAGACCAGAAAAAAATAATCAGAACAGGTAAATTAAAGATTGTATTATAGTAATATAAATATGCGTCAACTAATTACCTGCAGTTTGTACAATATTGTACAGCTTAGTGAATTTAGGATTGCATTTAAAATAGCCATCACGCGAGATTAATGTACTCATATTGGCGTATGTAGGTATCTTTACCCATAGGTGCACCAGCTAGAGTTAAATTTTGAGGGGTGCTAAATTTTTCAAACTGTACACACAGACAAAGGTGGAAATAGCGGGGGATCATTCCCTGGGCTTGAAATTTTAGCGGGAGTAATTTTTTTACAAGTCTATGTTAAGTTATTTGGTGTTAATATTAGTATTAAACTATTTTTCTTATTTAACATTTAAGTACCTATGCTCACAAAGAAATCAAAAAATTTTAAAGTTTAAAATTAAATCCCACACAGAATTCGAATAAATATTTTAATATTATTGGAATTTAAATATTTAAAATTAATAGTTGATAGTTAATGCAATTCCTATATTCATTTTTATGTTCTAACCAAAAAATTAGTAAATGATTCCTAAATATTCAAATAAATCAATTTAATTGTGCTAATTTGGCTTATTATTAGAAAACAATTGTAGGAAAGTGTAATTGAGTCTTGGTCTATGATTAGGTGTAATTTTAATGTTTTCCTCGGCGTAAAAAATCCTAGTTCCACCCTTGACATAGCACAATAGCACATAGGTACCTATTACTACCCTATAACCATAAGATGGTTTTTAAGTAATTTTTTATTTTATCTTTAACTTAAATATGTGTTATAGCCTATTATCATTGCACTATAGCTAATACAGCGGTTCCCAACCATTTTATGTCCACGTACCACTTACACATTTCTCCTAACCACTTGACCAAATAAGTTTTTTTTTACACTTATCAACAAAAATAATGTAAAGGTAATAATATTTTAGCTGTTTAAAAAATGGTCTTCTCTTAAGTACCAAATACGAGTTTTCTCACCACAGGTTGGGAACCGTTGCACTTATAATTCCACTTGGTTGTCAATAAGTATTAATTTGATGCGATGTTTAAGGTATTTGGCACCTACCTAGCACCTACTCTAAAATTATAAAAATAGATCTTATATTCATATCACATATCCATGCGACCATGCTATATTATTATTACAGAATTATCATACAGAACACTATTCAACTATTGACATTTAACAGTCACAGTTTATAGTGTGTAAAGTGTATGAATACTACTAAGTCCTAGTTACATATTTAATGTTGAAAAATTATTATTAGATATTTAAACAGAATAATTTATAAATATAATTTCTGAATATTTAAGTAAAAATGGAATTTAAATTAAAAATAATAGGTATACAAACTTCATACTTTAAAAAACAATATAAAATATATATGATGAAAAATTTGACTCAATTTATCTTAGTTCTAATATGAGACTCGGTAGTACTTAGTAGTTAGCCTTAGCAGTCCCTAGCGCCCCTCCTCCTATGTACGCCTATGGGTATTTTAACATTTTTATACTTTTTGTTCTTGGAGATTGAAAATCTAAGGTAAATGTTTAGTTAGTTGATGAATGGTAACTAAAAATACTAAGCAAAGAAATAAAATAGATTGTTTAAATGAAACAACGTAAACCTAACCTTTGTGACTAATGGACAATGGTGCATGTGCTCGCCATCAACTAACCATCTGCCTAAGTGTATGTCAATTATCTAATACAATAATCAATAATTGAATAATTGTTGTTATATAATATAGTTGCAAGTGCCCCACGGAATACACTGTACGTTATTCAACCAACGGTTCATGTTCGTGTGACTGTTTCGACAAACAACGAGAATGCATCCGATACAAGAAAGGCAACGTGTATTTTAACCATCACGATAAGTAGTACGTAATGTTTATTCTACACACATTTTATTTACTTTAGCCTTTAGGCACTATATTAACTTCATTAGTATATTAGAGATAATATTATAAATAAAATATCATTCAATTTCAGAAAAATTATTTACTAAAATCAATTATTATTACATAATTAAATAATTCAATAAAAAAGTTTAAACAAATTTAAACATTGTTTTTTTGTCCAACAGCTGCATTACATCGGGTCAGTGTTTGTTGCCAATGTGTGAGTATGGTGTTTACTCTACCAGAACCGGACGTTGCCCAAAACAATTTGAGACTCTATATTCATTAAATAAAAAACATTTCTTCTAAGTACCTCTAATCATACTTGAGACTTGTAGTTTGTTTTATAGAAACATAATATATATTCCTTCACATACACAATATACTTATAATATAAAGGTATGTGTGTATATGTATATAAATATATAATACAATATCTACCTAATAATGTGTTCAGTGATGTGTTCGCATTTTTGTTTAGTTTGTAACTTATTACAACTTTTTTAAGTGTATAATTAATAAATAAACATAATAAATGTTAAAAGTCACTCTTAGTGATATGTATTTATATGATTTGTACATTTTTATTTATTTAATATTTTGTCATTAGTTATTTTATTTTCAATTTTGTATTAATAAAGCTTTAAAAAAACTGTAATTCCATACATATTAATATGTACCAGATTGCTAATTTATTATGTTATATAGATTAAAATTAAATTTTTTTATGTTTAATGCATTGATACGTACAAGAAACAAGTACAATATTAGTAAATATATTATAAACTCTACTATAAAAATTTAAATATTAACATAAGGCCATCATTATTAATTATATAACTTTAAACGTTTTATTATCATTATGTTTTTATATTTTAATGATATTTTTTATATGGTTATAAATATTTTTAATTAGTTGGTCTCATAAGGATATAAAACTAAAAAAAAAAAATAATAATATGATACATGTAATGACTTATAAAAAATGCTTTACACTTAGCTAGTACATTTTAAAGGTATTACAGGTGTCTATTACAGTATACAGATGCACTTAACTATTAAATTTTTGTAAAATTTGAAAAAGCATTGTCTAATTATTTTATACAATAGTCATATTATTTGTACATTAAGATCACACTAAATTTTTGTTATTAATTTATAAATAAAGATAATATATACTTATTGAGTGATCATTAATCAATATTATTATCTTAACATTATTGTTTACTAATGTTTCATTATAACTTTTTCCAAATAATCCTTTTACCAAGATTTAGCTGAATAATTGGTTGTTAACCAAAGAATGTCCTGTGTATACACAATACACAATATTAAACAGTAGTTATAATTAACGACCACTGATTTGTTATTATAATTATCTCGTTAAATATGAATTAATATCACCAAGCCACCAAGCTCTGGTAACCAATCCAATAACTAAGAACCAACATTCTAAAAGTCAACGTGATTATGGTTGTTAAACATGGCATAATAGTTTACTGTTGGTGAAATTTAACATAGGTACATTTTTTTTAGAATATACCTAGTTTCTTTTAAAATATATATTTACATAACAAAATGTCTAGTAAATTTAACCAATAATATGAAAACACAGATGATCATTTATTATTTAAAAAAAAAATGACATTCTGTATATTATAATCTAATAGCAAGTGTAATTTTTAAAGAATAGATTACACCACGGATATCTTAAAAATATAATTTAACAAACTTAAAATTTATTTTTTAACAAAAAAAAATAAAAATAAATATATGAACATAGATCAATTTAACAGTAAATAATGTGTTCTAAAATATATATTCACTTAAAAATTATCTGTTTTAATAATACAAATAGTATGTAAAATTGTATGTATAAATGATTTATAAATATAGTTAAGTAAAAAAAATCACACATTTAAAATTTAGATAATCTAAATTATTAAAAATATAGTATTCATATCAAAACAGGGTTTAGATGATTTTTGGGTAAAAAAATTATGATATACAATTTAAAAAAATACTTTATCATAATACACACAAGTGCAAAATCAAAAGGAATGTTTACTATAGTTAAAATGTTAAGCATACTCAAATATTTTAAATATACCCAAAAGATTAAAGAATAATAAAATAAAAACCTAAAATGGTAGTCAATAATTACTGTATAAAATATTTTGATGTGGTAATTCAAATATTATAAAAACAAATTTCAATGAACGGTTCAATTTTATTTAGTGGTTTTTACCTGATTCTATCTACTTTAATATCTAAGAATGTGTAGATAATTTAATATGAAAATGGGTCAATATTTGTTTTATATATGTTTAATGGAATTTTTTTAAAACTGTATATTCATTTTAAAATCTATTTCATGTCATTTATAAACCGTTTTAAATGCATACAAAATATTACTTTCCCATAACACAGTCTTGTAACCACTCATCGGTCATTTCATCCAATTCTCTTACTTCATACACCCTAGTCAAGTTGGCTTCACGTTGTAACGCCATTTTAGTGCCTGCATACATTATTTGCAATTCCATATGACTATCTAAAGTAAATAACAAATGTTAAGAGATAATAAATTTCATTATAAACTATAATAAAGTACCTCTCGGGGTGAAATAAATGAAGCACATTGGGAATGACACTCGTCCATCTCCGTGTTCCATTTTACAGCAATAAATAATATAACGTGGCTGATGACCAGGTAAAATTTCTCTTAGTTCTTCAAGAGTAACATCATCCAACATTTCATCTACACATACTTGTTGTTTTTCTCTATCTACTTTCACTATTAACAAAATATAAAACCAAATAAGATTAATCTTTAAAATCAAAAATGTATATCGATATTGAAAATGGCTTACTTATAAGAGCAGCATTTTTGGTTGTTTTACGGAACCGAAACTTTCTCAATGTTTCCTTAACATCGTCGCCAATATCACACACCTTAGTACCCTGTAAACACAAAATAATGAAATACAATAGCATCATATCATAAATAAATGTATTTAACTAGTAGGTAATAAGATACATTTTGATTTTATAAGTATGAGATTCCTTATCTGAAGGGACATGCGTGGGTTTTTTAAACAAATATACATATTCAATTTTATAGTTATTCAAACGTAACTATGTTTATGACTTGTTACATTTAAATAAATTGTACAACTATTAGTTTCAAGTTTAACTTAACATGTGTCTGACAAAACATTTGTGAAATTAATTTTGTTTGAAATATGATTCTTTTATTTGGCTAATGGTATATGATATGGTTAGTGTCATATTGCAAAAATGTTTGCACAATATGTAAAATGCAATAATAGGTATAGCATGTTTATTGATTTGTATAACATTCATAGGTATTAAGTATTAACGATTCAAAAATCGTAGATATAAATAATAGGTTCTACCAATGGTTATTGGTAACCCATGTATGTTTTCATGGAATTTTAAAAATAATAAAAAATATGGACAAAATTTGTATTATAATAAATCATTGTTTCAAATATAATGCTTACCATTTTACCACAAAAATAGGTACCTAGTTAAACAGTTCAAGTCTCCAGGACCTGAGCGCACGTATACAAATCACAATTACAGAACAATCAACAGAGTACAGACGCAATATTGTCAACAATTAAAACTATAGATAGGTACTAACTACTAGAACGAATATTGAAAATATTTAATTAAAATTTACGTTCTGTTATCAGTATTTGATAAGAAAATTCAGGGGTTCACAAAAATCCATTGCTATTTGTTAATTTGTACTGTAAATTGCCTATCTTAATCCTGAAAATCTATAGCTAACGTTAAATTGTGTGTTTTCTGATTGCCTACACTATTACAAAATATTATAATAAATTGCTATTCGATTGATCCATTACTTACTTATCTGAGTGTAATAAGACTCTATCGTTGTTGTTCTATTTCTTTGTTTAAGAATTGCTCATCTCTAGAGGGAAATATGTACATCCGTTGCTCAATTTATTTTTCATTAGTTTATTACGTATCCAATTCTCGAAAAAAAATTCTGCTGTAGTAGAGTTTAATTTTATATTTTATCATCTTCGTGCATTTAGAGTAAAATAGCGCTTTTAACAAAAATATTTTTATCGTTCTTAACTATATATTTATACATTATTTTAGATTCTGTGATGAGCGACAATGTTGAAATAATAATGAAAAATGATTTTATATTTTTACAATTTTAAAATTGTAAAATGTTATTTTTATTTTATTCCGTTTGTCCCTGCGTATACGTAAAATTGCGTACTACTTAGAAAGTGAGGGACTTGAAATTATTTTTAACCCTTTCAGTCCCAGACTTAATTATACATCGTTTTTTATTTTTTTTTTTGTTTTTTCATATAAAACTAACTTGTTTAAAATAAAAATTAATTTTTTAATTTTTTTTTTTTTTAAATTAAAAAAGTTACGGAAGTGTCCACTTTAAGAGACACTGGGTCCAAATGGTTGTAGAATAATAATAATTGCTATACTGAGAATAAAACGAAAAACTATTTATTTTTAACATTACATATTATAAAATAATAACAATCAACTTTTATAATCGTAAATAACATTATTAACAGTTTTAAAAATTTAAAATAAAATAAAATGTTACAACTCATAACAACCTTTTAATAATAATAAAAAACTGAAAAATTAATAAAATAAAATTTTTTCTGTAGAACAAAACATTAGACATTAAAAATTTAAAAAGAATAAAATATACATTTGATAATTATTATTTTTGGTGGTATTTTAAGAAACAGTTACTTGTTTTGTCTAAACATAAATGAACGTTACACTTGATGCAAAACACGTGAGTTTTCCTACCTTTTTTCACACAATTTTGGTTCTTACACCTTGATGGAAAATTTTTTTCGTCAAATCCAGGTAAATGGTCAACTTGATCGAAGCGAACGTCATCTGGTTGACGAGTAGAGTCAACTTTTGCAGCTTTAGAAGTTGGTTCGTCTTCATTTCCATTATTTCGTGGTCGCCCTTTTCTTTTGGGTGTTAATGGCTTGCCTACTCGAATTAAATTTTCTGCTAAATCCATTCTAAAGTGTAAGAGGTCTTTTATATTTTTTTTCGGTATTTTAAAATGTTCTGCGTCCTTTAAGTATTGTAGCCAACAGTTAGTTACAATCAAATCCACAGCGTGGACAATCATCCTCATGGTCCATTTTCTAGATCGAATAAATGTCCTATAATAGCTGATCAATTGATCGACCTTATCAACACCACCCATCGATTGATTATATAGTGCTACGATTTCAGGTCTTTCGACATCAATATAAGATTTTGTCTTTTTGTCCCAACGTTGAATAGTTTCCGAGTTTCCCGATCCAACAAAGTTTGAAACCAAAGTTACTGCTCGCGTGTCAAACCATTTGACTAAACACAAATTACAATTTTCCATGTTTGTACAAATTTCATACGCAGTTCCCCTGCCCATTCGGGATAATTGTTTGTCAGACAAAAGTGGAGGTTTTGCAAATCGGTTTGTTCTTACAGTCCCAACAGCATAAATTTGTTTTTGGGTTAATTGCTCCATCAAATTAAAAGTAGAAAAAAAGTTGTCAAAAAATAAAAAATGTTTTTTTTTTTCTACATATTTTGTCAAATGCAAAACCACACTTGCTCCCAGTCCAAATTTTTTCAGCATACATTGGTCTATCTCTGTCGTATTACCTTGGTACAGAAGAATATTATAAACCATGCCACTAGAACCACAAAGAAGAAATGCTTTTATGCCCCAAGGACATGGTTTTCCTTTGACATACTGTTTCATTTGTAAATGACCTTTGAACGGTATCATCTGTTCGTCAACACTCAGATTTCTTTCTTTGGGTATTGACTTAATTTTTTTGTTAATCGCGTCATAAATAGGTCGAACTTTAATAAATTTGTCCGTGTTATCGCGAGGAATATTGTTATTATCAATTAAATGAAAATTTGATCGTAATGAAAAAAATCGGTTTCGTGGCATACTATCCCTTATAAGTTTAACTTGGTAATAATCTTCCCAGTACAGTCGAATTCGAGGGTATTTTAGGCAACCCATTATAATATGTACACCAATAAATCTTTTTATTTCAGATGCATCAGTTGGTTTAAATCGACTATTTTGTCTCTGTACAGAATATAAATTAGTAAAATAAGCCATATTTGAAAAATCTGTGTCATCGAGATATTCTGCGAAATAATCTAATAAACTAGGCATTTCTGTGGGATATATTATGTTTTCTAAATCATCTAAATTAATGTTTGGTTGTTTGAAAGGGCTTGTCTGCCATTTAATTTGATTTTTATTAGAAAAAACAAATGGTTCGGGTGATTGTAAATTAAATTCTAACTGTTCCGGCAAAATTAAATCATGTTCTGTATAATCTTCCCACTGATCAAACTGCTCAAGTAAATTATCTAGCTCTTCATTCTGAAAATTATCTACTATTTCCTCATCAGATTCGTCAATATCAGATACGGTTCCGTCACCAAGTAAATTTAAAATATCTCTTTCACTCAAACCATTTGCCATTATAAAAATATTTGTATAATTTTCAATATTATATTATTAGTATATATGATATTACCTATTATATGACAACAATTTATACATACACCGTGAAGAAATATATTATATTCTGTGGCCTGTTTGAAATGTATAATAAATAAACAAAGTACACGTTCAGCCGTTTGGCGCATAAATGCACGATGTGCATTGTGAATTGTGATACGCCCGCGGCACGTGCTTGTATCACACTTCACGACAGGCATAGGGGCCCGGTGTCTACTTAAAGAGACATGCGCCTAAACAGCTGTTTCTCACTATCCGATAAGAATTTAGCGTTAGAAACTGTTATAACATTATTCTTTATATGTTAGCCATGGAAGAAAAAATAACACGATGTGTAAATTCTTATAAACGACAAGTTATACACAATAAGAATACTCGAAACATCGATTATTTTCATTGCCAAATGTCGTCAAATATAACCGTTGATAAAATTGTTTATATTGACTATGTACCAAAATAGATATTTTTATTCTATTCTACATACAATTATTAACAAGAATAACCCTATATCACATTAGTTTAAAAGATTACGCTTTTGTTATGAATTATTTAAGTCGATGTCTCTTAAAGTAGACAAGGGGACTGAAAGGGTTAANTTATACATCGTTTTTTATTTTTTTTTTTGTTTTTTCATATAAAACTAACTTGTTTAAAATAAAAATTAATTTTTTAATTTTTTTTTTTTTTAAATTAAAAAAGTTACGGAAGTGTCCACTTTAAGAGACACTGGGTCCAAATGGTTGTAGAATAATAATAATTGCTATACTGAGAATAAAACGAAAAACTATTTATTTTTAACATTACATATTATAAAATAATAACAATCAACTTTTATAATCGTAAATAACATTATTAACAGTTTTAAAAATTTAAAATAAAATAAAATGTTACAACTCATAACAACCTTTTAATAATAATAAAAAACTGAAAAATTAATAAAATAAAATTTTTTCTGTAGAACAAAACATTAGACATTAAAAATTTAAAAAGAATAAAATATACATTTGATAATTATTATTTTTGGTGGTATTTTAAGAAACAGTTACTTGTTTTGTCTAAACATAAATGAACGTTACACTTGATGCAAAACACGTGAGTTTTCCTACCTTTTTTCACACAATTTTGGTTCTTACACCTTGATGGAAAATTTTTTTCGTCAAATCCAGGTAAATGGTCAACTTGATCGAAGCGAACGTCATCTGGTTGACGAGTAGAGTCAACTTTTGCAGCTTTAGAAGTTGGTTCGTCTTCATTTCCATTATTTCGTGGTCGCCCTTTTCTTTTGGGTGTTAATGGCTTGCCTACTCGAATTAAATTTTCAGCTAAATCCATTCTAAAGTGTAAGAGGTCTTTTATATTTTTTTTCGGTATTTTAAAATGTTCTGCGTCCTTTAAGTATTGTAGCCAACAGTTAGTTACAATCAAATCCACAGCGTGGACAATCATCCTCATGGTCCATTTTCTAGATCGAATAAATGTCCTATAATAGCTGATCAATTGATCGACCTTATCAACACCACCCATCGATTGATTATATAGTGCTACGATTTCAGGTCTTTCGACATCAATATAAGATTTTGTCTTTTTGTCCCAACGTTGAATAGTTTCCGAGTTTCCCGATCCAACAAAGTTTGAAACCAAAGTTACTGCTCGCGTGTCAAACCATTTGACTAAACACAAATTACAATTTTCCATGTTTGTACAAATTTCATACGCAGTTCCCCTGCCCATTCGGGATAATTGTTTGTCAGACAAAAGTGGAGGTTTTGCAAATCGGTTTGTTCTTACAGTCCCAACAGCATAAATTTGTTTTTGGGTTAATTGCTCCATCAAATTAAAAGTAGAAAAAAAGTTGTCAAAAAATAAAAAATGTTTTTTTTTTTCTACATATTTTGTCAAATGCAAAACCACACTTGCTCCCAGTCCAAATTTTTTCAGCATACATTGGTCTATCTCTGTCGTATTACCTTGGTACAGAAGAATATTATAAACCATGCCACTAGAACCACAAAGAAGAAATGCTTTTATGCCCCAAGGACATGGTTTTCCTTTGACATACTGTTTCATTTGTAAATGACCTTTGAACGGTATCATCTGTTCG